TCTTCTATTTCTACCCACCAAAACCCCCAACCCTCCTACAACAACCCATAATCTTCCCTACCCCGCTGCAATCAATAGTCTTCTCTACCTCGCTGCAATCCATAGTCAATGGCATTTCAGCAGCGATTGATTTTGGCTGGGTTAGTGTTGATATTGGAGGTGATTATTTTGTCTTGGTTGATGTTGATTTAAGCTGTTATTGATTTTGGCTGGGGCACTTGCAAGGGTGTTGAGGTGGCTTAGAGGTAGAGTGGTGTCGGTGGCGTTGGTACATAGATTGAGTGGTTTAGGGGAGTTGTGACTTACAGAGGGAATGCTTTGGGGATTTTATTGTATCCTTTTATCTATATAATAATGACGTATCATCGTATCCGTATCTTATTTTTTTGAGATTTTATTGTATTGTTATATTCGTATTATATCATTTTTATATTTCTTATATCTATGATTTTTTTATCACATATTAAAAAAAAATCACATTTACCTTAAATTCTTTTAAATTATAACAATTTTTCTTAGAAACAACACGTGTTATGCAAGGAAAAAGTTGTTATTCATCAAGGGGCTCTCAATCCTTTGAGGTGTCAAACTAAAAAGACTAAAATTCATCATGGGGTAACCTGCCGGTCGTCCCACCAATTGTGTTTTTTCGTTAATAACCCAGATAATGCCTAGTTATGAAATTGAAAAGGCTGAATGAAAGATTTTTTTTAAAAAAAATTTACTCTATCAATTACAAAAAAAACCATCACTTTATACCCTCAGTTTCTTATATTGCGAAGACTTTACCTTCTTAAGGTCAAAGGTTCAAACTCCTTTCCCTCCTCCCTCAAAAAAAAAAAAAAATTCTCTCAGTTTCTTAAATTTTCCCAATATGGTTATGCCACATAATTTGGTCTCATATATATTTTTTTGGTCAATCTAACATTACTCAAAACAATATTATGTCAACTGGCAAAGGCGGAGCTATGGCTGTTTTTAGAGTAGGGGCAAGTATATATTATTTTGAAAAGAACGATGAAAGATCATCATCGATAGTCATTACATCTCACAAATTAATAGTTATTTGGCTTGTCAACGGTAAAGTTTGGATAGAATTTCGACTGATCCAAATCTAATTTGAAAACTCGATTCGAATTCAAACTAAATTGTTCAACGAGCTTAATTTTTGCAATTCATGTTTGAATTCTTTTGAAAAAATAAAAGTCGATTGGATCCAAATAATTAAACCCGACCTAAATTTTAATTAATTACATTTCCATTTCAATACAATATTGTTAAATAATCACTCAATTTTAATTAGTATATCTACATATATGTTTATCAATCGAGTCTATTTATTAAGAAAGTTAATTTTTTTTTTTGTAAAATTGACAAAGTAATAGGTGTCAGTAATTTATTGAAAAGACATAATATTTTATAAATGAGCACAATTATATTCAAACCACCTGAAGTTTGTCACTTAATTATCTAAATTCCCTAATATTTAAAATATTACACACACACCCTTAATATTTGTACTCATATAACACTTAGACCCTATAGTCAATAATTAGTAAATTACAATCAGATACCCTAAAATTTGTAAATGTGTAAAACTTAGACCTTTCAATTTTAAAATTTTATACTTAGACTCTTTATTAATTACAGAACTAACAAAATCTATTAAATGACTAAATTACCCTAATTAAATATAGAAGATATTTTATCTATTACAATTTGACATCTTATTTAATTTTTTAGTTTTATTTTGATAGATAGTATATTTGTATGAAAATGAGTGTTGAATTGAGTTATTATTTAAGTTTTATGTCAATAGATGATATAATGGAACATGCAAATGCGTTGATTAGACTTATTTCATATGTTTGTACTTGATGATGAAAAAATTGACCCAAAGTGAAAAGTCCATTTACTCCAAACCTAACGTTTAAACACAGTTCATATCTTTAAGTCACTTACTAACTTAAACATCGGAGAATCAATCCCCGAAACTCTCCTCTGGTCTTTGACTTCTTTTTTAGGTGATCAAATTCTAATAAATTGACGTGAAAATTATTCAAATATTGGCATCAACAGTAGTAATTACAAAAATTATAATTTTTTAAGAAAAAATTAGATTTATATTTTGGATTTTATTTTAATAAATAACATAATAGAACATGAATTTCGATTGTAAAATTTCAAAAATTTGATATTTATCTCTATTTGGAGTATTTTTTGTCTAAGTGTAATATTTTAAATTTGATGAGTTTAAGTATTACCCACTTTAAATTTTAGGAGTTTGGAAGTAATTTATTAAAAGATATATTAACGGGTATTGATAGCAGGGTCTATGTGTTACGCGTGTAAAAATTTTAAGGAGTCTGTATATAATATTTAAAATATTAGGAGTCTAGATAATTAAATGATAAACTTCAAAAAAATGAGGGTAATTATCCTATAAATAATGTACACCGTATAGTATTACCACGTGTTGTGTTACACGAGCTCAAAAATTTCTCAATTGTAGCTGAAGTGGAGTGAGGTTAGCCACTGAAAGACGACTCTACTGGCATGTGATGATCATTGACATAGAAATATGAGTGGAAGTGGGAATGGAGAGCTGCGCTGTAGATTCGTTGACTCCATTTGCTTCCATATCTATCTACCTAGCTACCCAAGTACAACAACTTCCTTAATGCTGTCTCTCTCTCTCTCTCTCTCTCTCTCTCTCTCTCTATCTGTGTCAAACACAACGAACCAACATTCAATTTCACTCCACATCTTATCTTGCATGAAATGATATGGGAGGCACGCTCTTCTAAGTACTCATGTATGTAAAAGATGATACCCTGATTGAGATACAACAAGATCAACTCTCTCTGTGTTTCCAAAAATTTAAATTTTATTATTTTCCTTTGTTTTATTATTTCGAGCATCAATGCCTCTAAATAACTTACAATAAGGTCCACGGTTGATAATTATTTTTTATTTAAAAAAATTATGTTTCATTACTATAGACTTATTCTATATTTCTTTCTCATCTTATCATTGTCGTGGGTCATCAGCATTATCTCTAACCGAAGGGAAAGCAAGGATTAACCAGACAAACCTTAACTTGTTTTGTTGGTTCAGTTGTTGGTCTGGTTTTTTGGTTGTCTTTTTATTGCAGACAGTGGCATGAGGATCTTTGCTATTCCCACAGCTTTAGTTGAAGTATCTGATCTTTATTTAAGTGCTACTGAAAGCTGCACAAGTGAAGTATGGGTATATGTATATCCCCGAGAGATGTGATTTAAATCTTTTAAGGTCAATACTACTGTGATCTATCCTATTTTTTACCAAACAATGCGAGATATATATGTGTAAAGTTTTTATATATTATTTATTTTATTATCAAAAGCTACAAACAAATCAAGACAAAATCTTTGGTTGACAAAAAATGTTGATATGGTACCAAAGTGGTACCATAGTACTATCCTACTAAGGCTTACAGGGATTTCCTCAAATGCTCTTTGATCAGCTTAGAGTAACTCTAAAGGGAGTGGCATCAGGAGTGGTAATTCTATAACTGTTAAAATATTATTCCAAATTTAAAATTTTTCATTTCAATGAGGGTAATATCAAGGGTTGAAAAATGACATTCATGCTCTTGGGATGTCAAATTTGGCAAATCTGGAGAGAGAAAAGGAGAGATTGCAAATGAGTTTAATTACATTTTTTAAGAGCAATTTCAAGGGAGATATCCGTTAAAATTTATTAGAAAATTTTGGCAGCATTAAAAAATATTAAAATGGTACCCTATTTTGGCACCTGTTATTGGAGCATATTTATAATTTAAAGATGCCAAAATACTATTCAATATTACAAATATGTAATTTGACACCTCAAAATGATAACTCCCGTTGGAATTACTCTTATAAATTGACACTATGTAGAAAAAAAATATTTGTGAACCCAAAATATGTCTCTCTAACCTAATGAAATGAGGTGTCAAATAATATTATTTTAATAAATAAGTCCAACAATTACTTTAGATTAAAAAATAAAGTCAGATTTTTATGTCTAAATGCAAGTTACCCTTCATACAAATCCATTATTCATTAAAGCCATTTACAAACAGCAAAAAAAAATTTAAAAAAATTGGTAAATTACACTAGGGGTGTCTAAAATATTTACTCACTCTTATTTTAGTTACCTAAGTTAAAATTGTGTCATTTTGGTCCATTAAGTGTCCAATTTATTTTCAAGTGGTCTACTTGTTAATTTCTGTCTAAGTATATGACTACAATATAATTTGGACAAAAGTTAACAATTGGAGCAAGCATGTAAGTGAATCTCCAATTTTTCAATAATGGGGTGGGAAAGAATAGGGGATGCTAAGCGGTTTGTGGCCAACTTGTGAAACTAATTCTGCATGTTACATGCAGTTTATAGCTTCCGTACGTACAAAACTGTTAAAAGAGTATAGAGAGCTGACTCAACTGAATGGCTTCTTGTCTATTGGCGTATTCATCATTCCATGAATGTCATTCAACTTGGTGCAGGGTATGGAAGTCGTAGTTGCAGAGTCACTGGCACCATGTGCAAGCAACCAACGCCACAAAACCCTAGCGACTTCATAATAGCATTCTGCAGTCAAACTCCTCTCTCTCTCTCTCTCTCTCCATATACATGTGTAAAGCATGAATTTTGCGTGCATAGAAGGACTTTGTTTAAGAAAATAAGAAGATAAGAGGAGCAGGGAAAGTTGCACTCAAAGACGGGACCCGCAAATACTATCAGACACTTGCTAATCGAGAATGATCCATAGATCCGTAAGCATGAAAGGACTTACTAATCTTGTTATGACCATCTTGTGCCACCTCAAACCTCATTCCTGTACATATCTTATCTTTCATGATAAAAAAAGGGCACACTTTCCAACCTCTATATATATAGAGGATCATCGTTTTCCCTTTAACATGCCTTTCACTCTCTGTTTCTCTCTCCCCTTACTTGTTTTCAGTTGTTTTATAATGCCAAAAAGAGTAGAGGTTGAAGGTAGAGAAAGAGCACCAAAAGGGCACTTTGTGGTGTATGTGGGTAGTGAATTGAGGAGGTGTGTTGTTCCCACATCTTTCTTGAACCATCCATTATTCCAACAACTGCTAGATAAGGCTGCTGAGGAGTATGGCTTTCATAACCAAACTAAAATTGTTCTTCCTTGTGATGACTCTACCTTCCAAAGGCTCATTGTCTTCTTGGCAAAGAGCAAGTTAGCTAGCTCGTCGGTAAACATTGGTTGTCTGTGTTGCTTTCCAGTTGAAAAAATTTCAGGGACATGTAAGTAATTCTAACTTAATGAAGATCATTCCTAGTTCCATCAATGGCAAAGACGTGAACGTAGAGAAATGAAAAGTCTTTGGAAGTTGATCTCTCTCTCTCTCTCAATCATGATCTTAGTTGTATGCATAAATTAGGGACAGACTCGTGGGATGCATAAGATCTACGTTCCCTATCTTCTCCAAGAATCTCTGTTTAACGTCCTTTCTCTCAAATCTCAACCCCACATCATGGATCCCACTGCGGTAAATACATTGAGTTTTTTGATACCATATTAATAAATCAAGGTTGGTCGTTGATGGGTCTGTCAACTAATATGAACTATTGATCAAGTTGTATACCTCCTATACAAGTTTTGGTTCAAAATTGCAGACATGATAAGATATTGACATAACTTTGTTACATAGTACATCATATTAGTCCGATTAAAATATACCATAATATTGTTTCTACAATAAAGGTTAAACTTACAACCTCTATGAGTAAAAGTACTAGAATTGTGGACATATTTAAGAAGTTTTGTTTATAACATTTGTGGGCTATTATACTGTTAATTTGGACAGTGGGTATTATTATGCACGTAAAGGTAAATCTAGAACGAGAAATAAAATTCCCTTGAGTCGATTTTACAACATTTGTGGGAAATGGTACTAGATTTGTGAACATATTTATAAGTTTAAATGAACTTTTACCATTTTTTTGGCACCAATTATGACAATTAAGGATGAATTAACTACACAACTTGAATCCTTGTTGATAAGGTTACTAGTTTTTACAACAAATTAGGGTGTAATTACGATGATTGTTAATAAAGTTACTAGTTTATAGGATAGTTTTACTTTCAAGTTGGTCAATACTACGACCAAAGTGGTCAATATTATGGACTTAAAGGCATATGTATAACATCTGTAGGGTTCATAGTAGTCAAGTTTACGACGAATGTGGTGAATAGGCAATTCATAGCTTGTACCACCCCAATGGTTTGATTATCATTAAAATAAAAAATGTTATTTATGAAAAATTTTACAATATTTGTGAATAAATTACCCATATATAAGGTAGAATTACCATGTTTGTGATTGAGAGTACCAAAGTTGTGGACATATTTACAAGTTCAGAGGAATAGTTACAACTCCTTCGATAAATATTACCACAAATGTGGGTAATTTTATGATGGTGAAAGATAGTTTTATGAAACAGATGAGATAAATTTAAACAAATGGGGACAGATTTATCAAAAAATAGGATAACTTTACAATATTTAAGGAAAATTTTACTATAGTTTAGGGTTTTATTTTGATTATTTTGGATAAGGTTACTAGTTTTGTATGAAAATTTTACTTTTAAGTTGATTAATGTTACAACAAAAGTGGTTAATATTACAAACTTAAAGGTAAATATATAAAATCTGTGAAATTCTTTATAGTGGGTTTTACCATAATGTGGTGAAATGAGATATTCATAAGTTTTACACCACAATGGTTAGATTTTATATAACTAAGAAAAATTTATACCATTTAATGAAAAATTTACTGCATTTGTGAATAAGTTACTAGTATTTGAGGTATATTTACCATTTTTGTGGTCCAAAATACTGATTTGTGGATGTATTTACAAGTTTAAAGGATTACTACTTTTATGATAAATTTTACCACAATTGTGGGTAAGTTTATGATCGTGACAAGTATTTTAACGAGACAGATGGGCTAAATTAAAACTTACGAGGATAATTTACCACAAAATTGAATAACTTTACGATTAAGGAAAATTTTACTACATTTTAAAATTATGATTATTTTGGATAAGGTTAATAGTTTGTACGAAAATTTCATTTTTAATTAGTTAGTGTTACGATAAAAATGGTTAATATTACATTTTTGCTGCTAAATAATAACATCTGTGAGATTCATTATAGTGACTTTTACGACGAATCTGGTAAAATGGGATATTCATAGCTTTTACCACCATAATGATTAGATTTCATATAACTAGAGAAAATTTATATCATTCAATGAAAACTTATAACATTTGTGAATAAGTTACTAGTATTTGAGGTATATTTATCAATTTTGTGGTCCAGAATTTCAGATTTGTGTATGTATTTACAAGTTTAGAGACAGATTTACTACTCTTATGGTAAATTTTACCACAAATTGTGGGTAAGTTTATGATTGTGCAAAGTACTTTTACAAAAAAGGTGGGCTAAATTAAAACTTATGAGGACATATTTACCACAAAATCGGATAACTTTACTATATGTAAGAAAAAAATTATTACATTTTAAGGTTTTGCTACGATTATTTAGGATTAGGTTACTAGTTAACAGATTCATAACTTTTATCACCACAATGGATAATTATGATATTTTTGGAAGAAGTTACCACATTTTTAGAATTTTTAACCACATTTGTAGTTCAGTTTACCAATTTTTTAGACATATTTATATATTTAAAGCAAAACTTATGACTTCGATCGTTAGTAATTTTTACCATAACTATGGTGATATAACGATCGTTAAGGATGTGTTTACAAAAATAGTGGTTTATGTTAAGACGTTTGCAAAGAAATTGGTTATAATTGAGGTAATTTTACAGCATATATTGGGAATTTTACTATAGTTTATGGTTTCTTTAAAACGATTGTGGACAAAGTTATTAGTTTTGAGGAATATTTTACTTGTATTGTGGTTAATATTACAATAGAATTGGGTTTTGCCATAAAGTTATCAGATATTAGTATTGAAGTAAATTGCGATCGATCCCATAATTGAGCAATTGATCCATGTAAAATACTTGTTGGACCAAAAAGTAAATGATCAGTCCTTTATATTAGCGATCGATCATTGTTTTAGAAGTGTTGTTCATCTAAAACTTTGCGATCGATCAATTATAAACGTGATCGATTAGAATAATTTTTTTCTAAGGAACTAAAAATCCAAGCGACGCCATTTAGATTAAAGCCCATATCAACCAATCAAATTATGACAGCTAGCCAAACCATCTACCTCCTCTTAATCCTACCAAAATCCAATACCTAGTTGAATCCCCTTCTCTTTCTCAATCCATTTCTAACATATATGACTCTCAATCCTTTCTCTTTCTATCGGTCTATTTTCCAAAATCAGTAACTCCCTCATCATCTCAATCCCTATTCTTGTTTCCAACATGTTTCTAAGGTCAAAAGAATCCATTTTCTTTCTTCCAAAATTGGTTTCTCTTGCTCCATTTTCCTGTGTGTTTGGAGATATTCTTAGATTGTTGTGATTGACCAATGAGAGGAAATAGAAAATAAAGGGTCTGAAAATTAATAATGAAGAAATAAAATGTTAGTTTTTATATTAATTTCCTTTTTTCAATGTTTGAGCTTTCTTGGCTTACTATTTTCATTTCCTCAGTTTGGCCTTTATTTGTTTCATAAATTTATTTGGACGAACCAAATGTTGAATGTCGTTATCATTTATTGGGTTGTGGATGAATGTTTTGTTGGGTGCATTCGAGGAGGATTTGTGAATGTTGTGGAGAAGTATATGTTTAGCATATTTTTGTAGACAGTGGCAATGTTGGATAATAAGTAGTCATCCATATAACAGACGAATATATTTGAGTTTATTTGTGTCCCCTTATTTATTTGACCTATAGAACATGTGACATTTATAGGGAAGACTCAAGCCCCTGGACAATCAACTGTAATTTCAACTTTGGCGATATATCTAATGTAAGATATGATCTATATAGTTGAAAAGTAAAAACATTCGTTACATTGTGGACATCCATTACAAGAAAAAAAAAGGTTTTTATGGCGGTAAAGTGCTATCATAAAAAAGGTTATTTGCCGTCACAAATACTTTATGTGGCGGCATTACCTCGCTATAATAAGTGTGGTCTCAAAAGATTTTTATGACAGCAACGGTATGTCTCAAATAATATTATGGCAGTAAGACCTTGTCGTAAATAAATTGTCACAAAAAATCAGACACTTTTGTTTTTATCACAGCAGAAAAAGTGTTGTTTCAAATACTACATTTGACTGTTGTAAAAAATAGAAAATTTGGTTGTAGCGGTTAATATACCGTTGCAAAAAAGTATGAAATTTTTTCTACATTAACATTTTTTTTTATTATTATGGATCGTTGGTAACCACTGTGCATATATACACTTCCATCACATGAAGTACAACTTTTTTTTTGAGCAATTCTACATGGACTCAAAAAGTAGACTTAAAAATTAGATTTGATAATCTCAACTATTGATTTTATTGTAGGTCTCAGCATTTATTGTGACTCACTACTTATTCAATGGTTAAGATTATCAAGTCTAGTTTTTAAGTTCATCTAGCATTACTCTTTCTTTTTTTTGAGAGGGAGAAGGGAGAAAGGGGTTTGAACCTTTGACCTCAAGAAGACAAATCTTTTACAAAGTAAGGAATACCATTAGATCAAAGACTCATTGGTATCCATACAACTACTCAATTCAATATATAGATAAATACAAAAATAAATATGACCAATATTTCTAAAAACATAGCAATATTATGAGTTAAACAAAATGTAAAATATGAACTTATACAAAACATAACGAATTATGAGTATAAGAAATTAATGCAAAAAATTAAATATCCTTCCCGAATCATCTAATCTCTCAGTGACATCTGGAAAAAAACATAAGATTATTGTAACTAAACTAAAATGATATTTATATACATATATAAATAAAGAACTAAAAAAAGTTAGAATATACATCAACTAGTCATAACCCGTACCTGAAAACACGATAAAATATATAATTCGAGTGTCCAAAAAATTAATCTCACTATATTAAATTTTTTCAATATGTGTATACTATTGTATATGAATAATGTTTAAAATAAAAATTATATTAACTACAAATTAATTAAATATTAAATTTATTAAACATATGATAAAAATGCGTGATGTGATGCGGTTTGACGTTTGAGTCTGACAGAAGGATAATAGGTGAGATAAGTGATTGATGATGATTTTGAGGGGAAAATATGATTGAGATAAAATTCAAACACACTTCTATTTTATTATATAGATAGAGGGCCATGCAATA